CTACTTCTCTTACTTGCCTCTCAAAATCCCTTTTGAGCTCTTCCAAGGCCTGGGACTGATTCATATTTTTCTTGGAGGCTTTGGATGTAGGAGCTTTGGCTTTGTTGTCTTCTGGTTGTATGTGTTGATCTTCTTTGTCACCAAAGTAAGATAATATAGTCTGACTCTTTTTGTGCTGCTTGCTCATGATCCCAACCAATTAGTTGAGTTTTAAACTCTTTGTTAAGGTAAGAGTCTGTTTCCAATGTGGAGAATGTACTGTCCCAAGCTTCAGGGGTTTGTACACCTGTTTTCAGAGATACTTCTAGGGACCTGAAAATTTTCAGTTCTTCCAAGGTGATATGATAAGGAGCGAGATGTTTCCTCTCCACCACCACCACAAGCACCACCATGCCAGCACTCCTCCTCGCCCCAGGACCGCCCCACAGAACTGTGACCCAGATCCAAGCGCGGGCAAAGCAAGAGATTCCTGCCTCAGCACTGGCAAAGAGATCCCTGCCATCCCCCTCTGATCAGCAATTCTATTCCCCCTCAGTCTGTGGGCCAGAAGCTCAGGAAACAGTCGCTGCCCCAGGCCGCGATCCACACTTGCGGCTGAGACCTAGCTCCTCTCTCACCACAGTCACAGACTTTTCCCACTGACCTAAGTTGTCTTTGGCGTTCCTGGGTTGAGAAGTCTAGAAACCGCCACACCTGCCTGCTTCTGAGGCCTGCTCCAGGGTTGCTGTGGCCTGCACGCCCACACTGAACTGCGCTCCTCTCCTCACCCGGCGCGATATACCTTTCTGATCAACCATCCAGGCTGTCTTTGGCTGGAATTTGTTTCACTCTGTCTTTTTGTGGGTTCCGCTGCTTTAGAATTTGTTTAAAGTCATTTTTTTAGGTATTTGGAGGGCTTTGGGAAAGAGCTCAAGCCAGTCACTGCTTTCCCTCCTCATCTTGGCTCTGCCCCCCACAACCCTTAAAATACTACATAAATATCAGTTGATATTAGAAACAATACACCACTCCCCTCAACATGCCCCATGCTCCAGCCACATCACATTATTCACGTCTTATACCAATCCAATGTTTCCCACTTCTGTGACATGAACATAGGAGGTGCATAATATACGCTCACTGAGTTGAGGTACAAAATGTCACACAAAATCAAGGAAGGTTATGAAAAGAAAAATCATTTCGAGGAGGAGTTTAGGGAAAACTTCGTGGAGGTTATTTGAGTTAGACTTTGAAGGAAGAGAGAGTATGGAAGAAAGAGAGAGGAAGGTAAATGTAGGGAATAACATAAACAAAGGTAAAAAAGTGGGAAATCAATCAACACATACAAGAGATGCTGAATAATTTAATTTGGTTGGAATACAGGGAATATAGAGGGCAGTATTGTGAAAAGGTGGCCAGTACCAGATTGTGGAAGGCCTTAAATGACAGACTAAGAGAGTGTGTGTACTTTATATGGTTGGCAATAGGAAGGCATTGAGGGGTTAAGAGCAGAGGAGTTAACTAATTGTATCTGTGTGTATAAAAGAAAGGTCAATACAAGAAGAGTCTAAAGAATATACCTGAGCAGGAGATTGAAGGAAGAGAACCAGCTAGGTAGAAAGAGTGCAGGACTTGAAGTCAGAAAGACCTGAGTTTGAATCCTGCCTCAGACAGTTATTAGCTATGTGACTCAGGGTAAGTCACTTAGATCTTACTAAGCCTCAGTTTCTTCATCTGTAAAATGGAGATAATAATAGTAGCAGCACTTACCTCCAAGGGCAGTTGTAAAAATCAAATGAATTAACATAGAAAGCCTTTTGCAAAACTTAAAGTGCTACATAAATGTTAGTTATTGTCATTATGTAAGTGGTTGAAGCAATAGCCTAGCATGGGGAAATGAGCTGCTGTACTAAGGTGCTGACAATGGGAACTGAAAGTAAAGTATAGAACTGAGAAAAATAGTGGAGGTAAAAATCAACGGGCCTTAGTAAATAATTGGGATATGGGAAGTAAAGGAGAAACAAAAGTCATACAGTTTTCAAGAATAAATACCAGGGTGAATGGGCATGGGGGGGAGGAGAAGAAAGGTGTCAATATGGATACAATGATAAATTCTATTTTGGGCATGTTAACTTTTTACTCAATTCAGTCCCCACCTCCCCCACCCACAACTTCCCTGCCAACACATACACACCTTGTTCAAAACCTTTCAATGGTTCTTCATTGTCTCCCCCATAGTTTAGTCCCAATCCATCTCCCCAACATCAACCCTACAAGAAGTCTCTGCACTGTCAAAATCTGATATTCAAACACATAGCCCGTACTGCTGCCTCTGACTTTGCCGATTGTTCTCCCTACCTAAAATGTCTTCCCTCTTTGCTCCATTTGCCTAAACCGCTTCAAGGCCCATCTCAAGTCCCATTTCCTCCAACTGTCTTCCCCATTCATCCCAGCCCAAACAAGTCGTCCTTTAAAGTAAGGATGCCCAGGATAACTCCGGAGCCCCACTCCATTTTGGAGTCTTTAGGTGCCTAGAATCACCGAAGTGTTTCAGATACGGGTAGACTTGCTCCTATCTTGTGGCTTTCTGACTAGTCTGAAGCCAATTGTTGTCTTCCCTTCTATCTTTGAACACTTTCTCCCAGCCTCTAATTTAAACTAGAATAAGTTGTCCTGGAGAAGCTAGTACACCTCCCCATCATCCCAAAATGGCTCAGAATTTCAAAGGACTCTGACACAGAATGATTCTCCTGCAGATTCTCCTAACTATATTCAAAGCAGACTTCCTTACATTAAATCTGTATATACATTATGTAAGTAGGCTTAGGTTTCTGAGGAGTTCGGTTCAAATCCCACCTCTGAATCACACCATCTGAAAGATCTTGGATATTTAGTAAAATATAGCACTAGCTAAGTTTCAAAGTTATACTCATATTGTGTTTTTATCTCAAATGTTAACTTATTTAACTAAAATGAAAATTAGTAACACCAAAAATTAATAATTTCTTTCTTTCACTTTCTCAATAAGCATAAGTAGTAAACAGTAATTCTATCCATCTTATAGACTATGCAAAGATACTAAAGTGATTAAATGACCTGCTCCAGGCCAAAGAGAATTGATTAGGAAAGCCAAGAAAATAGGTACCCAAAGTATCTTCAAGTTCCCAGCAGAGAATCAGATAAGCTTCTTTTATTTTACAAATGGAATTAATTTAAATTTTATATTCATGTATAATGAAATAATGAGCAAGCAAATGATAAGTCATTATAAAAGATACATGTTAAGTCTAGTCTTAGAATTCATAGCAACAAATTAAGAAATGTTATTCTGACAGTGAAATAAGTCCTTGTATATCAAAAATACATTCAGAAATGAAGAAAGACTAATGCCTTTCATTTTCCTTCCTGGGTGCAGGTAAATGGAAAGAAAGGGTTTCTTAATTAAGACTACAGTTTACACCATTCTAGTGGTCCCTCTACAGACAAACCATGAAAGTTAAGATTTTAAGTGAGGCGTTAGTAGCCGCACTTAAAAATAACCTGACCAACTAAGTTACTACAGTGTTAATCTCCTCCTCTCCTCCCACCATACACACACTGATATGAACAACATTAGAGCCTAAGATACTCCTGAAAAAAAAAAGGCATTACCATTAGCAATGGGAGAGAAAAAAAATAAAAATATGAGGCACAATCACACATTATCTACACAACTTACAGCTTTTAACATCAGAATGAGATAAAGCTAATATTAAAGACATCTTTAGAAGAAGTGAAATCGACTAGAAGCAGCATCTGAGCACTTCTAAATTCCAGACCCATTCAAGAAATAGTGCCAGTATGATACTTGTCCAAAGGTGGACAATACGGTACTAAAGAAAGAGCACTGGCTTCAGGGTCAAAGCATCTGGATTCAAATATGACCTTGAGCCTTGGAGTAAGGCTACAGGGGCCACAGGTATTTTATATTTATCCATGATCTTCTGGAAAATACAGATCATGATTTTATGGCTAATGGTTAGTTTCCTCATAAAAGTTACTAAAATGTCCTCAAATCACTGCCAATAATATGCTTAAGAGTGTCTATCACCAAAACAAAGAGATGTCAGTGCAAAGACAGATATGAACTAGACTACTGCAACATTTAGCAACAGCTTCCTAAATGGTCTCCCTGCTTTGCTTCTCATCACTCCAATCTGTCCAACATACTACTGCCAAAGTAATTTTCTTTATGTGCTTATCTGATCATCTAACCAACTCAACCAACGCCAGTGGTTTCCTATTACCTCTAGAATAAAATGTAAATTTTTAAAGCACTTTACAACCTGGCCCCAACCTAACTTTTTAGCTTTAATGGACATTTAGGTTCTGTCTGTTCCTCACTCACCATTCTCTCTCCCACTGCCATCCTTTGCCCAGACTGTCTCTCATGCCTGGAAGGCACTCCCTGATTTACTTCTACTTCAGAATCCCTTTCTTCCTTTCAGATGCAGCCCAGGCACCATCATCTGACAAAGCCTTTCCTGATCCCGACTGCTAGTGCTCTCCCAGCCCAAATGTTTCTATCTAATTACTTTGTGTATGTATTTAACTTACGTTTTATATGTGTGTGTGTGTTGTCTTCCCCATTAAAACATAAGCTCATTGTTAGTAGGGAATGAAATATGCTATCCACCTCTGATAGAGAGGTGAAGGACTCAAGAGTACTAGATAAATGGGGGATACCCCCACTGTTTTGTTTATACATGTTTGTAACAAGAGTTTCATTTTTCTTATTTTTTAAAAGACATACATAGAATAAAAATAAGGGGCTGAAAAAAATTACTACACATGAAGTAAATCCAAAAAAGCAGTAGCTGCAATCATGCCAACAAAGCAAAAAACAAACATTTAAAATATAAAAAGGAATAAACAAGGAAGCCACATTACACTGAAAGGAACCAAAGACAACAAACCAATATCAATATTAAATTTATATGCTCCAAATAACTTAGGATATAAATTCACATTGTGAATATTACCTGAGCTACAAGAAGACAAGGGTTTTCAATGTCTCTCCCTCACTTCTGGATAAATCTAATGGAAAGATAAAACAAAAGGGAAAATATAGATCTGAACAAATTGCTAAAGAAGCTAGACTTAAAATACTTATGGTAACTTATAAATAGGACTTCAAAAGAATATGTGTATTTCTTAGCACCATATGAAATATTCTACTTTTGACCACATATTTGGGCACAGAGATAGTCTAAACAAACGAAAAAAGGTAGAAATAATAAACACATCCTTACAGACAAAATGTAATAAAAACAGTCAGGGGCCACAAACAAAAGACACTCAGAGATTGAACAATGAAAACCTAAATAATACCATTAATGAATATTGACTCAAAAATTTTAAACAAGAACTTGTTAGACTACTGCAATCTCTCCTAGGAATCATTCATTATAACCAAGTTGGATTTATACCAGGGATGCAAGGATGGTTCAACATTAAGAAAACAATCAATATCATTAATAATATTAAAAACAAAAACATCCAAAACCACATGAACATCTCAATAGATGAGGAAAAAGTCTTTGACAAAGTGCAACACATTCTTACGCTAAAAACCCTTTAAGAGTAGGCATAGAGGGACCTTTCTAATATCATAAAAATTATCTAGATAAAACCAAAAGCAAATATCTTACGCAATGTGGATATGCTGGAAGCTTTCCCAACAAAAATGGAAGTGAAGCAAAAAGGCCCACTCTCCCCACCATTATTTGATACATGTATGGAAATGCTAGCAACAGCATTAAGATAAGAGAAAGGTATTAAAGGCATAAAAACAGGTAAAGAGAAGCTAAAGCTATCAATCAATAAATCAAAAAACATTTATAAGTGCCTACTCCATGCCAGGTGCTGTGCTAAGCTGATGATATGATGGTATAATTTGGAAATTCCTAGGGAATCATCAAAGATACTGAGACAATACTTTTCTATAGAACTTCTAATATTAGTTAAAAAATAGAAAGATCGATCGATGTAGACAAGATAGAATCAAAAACAAGAAAAGTCAACAAACCATTGTTTCAGAAGTGGAAAACATAAATTATCTAGGGAAAAAAATTCTTATTCGATTGCAAAAAAAAAGCTGCTGAAAAAACAGAAAAGTTTTATGTTAGGCTTAGGCCAACAACTTACATCATATTCCACAATACATTCTAAAGGGATGTATGACCTTAATATTATGATTAGAATATAAAAAAAAACAGAAAAGAAGCAGATCACATACCTCTCCCAGCTATGGGTAACAGACGTATTCTTAACCAAACAATAAACAGAAAAAATTAAAGAAATAACTCGGATTACTTGAAACTGAAAAGCTTCAGCAGAGAAAAAAATCTATGTACCTAGGATAAGAAAGGAAGCAACTAAATAGGAAAAAAAAAATCTTTGTATCAAATTACTCTGATAAAGGTTTGGTATTCAAGATATATAAATAATGAACAAATATATATAAGACTAATAGCCATTTCCCAACGGATAAATATTCAAAAGACAGGAACAAACAGTTCTCAAAAGATGAACTGTGATGTATTTACAACCATATGAAAGAATGCTCCAAATCAATAATAAGAGAAATACAAATCAAAACATCCCTGAGGCTTCGCCTCACACACTGAAAACTGGCAAAGATGATTTTTAAAATGGTAATAATCAATGTTGGAGGAACTGTGGAATGACAGGCACACTAATACATTGTTGGTGGAGCTGTGTGATAATACAACCATTCTGGAAAACAATCTCAAATTATGTAAATAAAGTGACTAAGATGTCCATGCCTTTTGAACTAGAGATTCCATTACTAGGCTTATACCCTAAGGAAGCTACTGATAAAAAGAAAGCCCCCATATAAAATAAAATATTTATAGCAACTCAAAATAGATGACCATCAATTGGGAAACAGCAAAACAAACTGTGGTACATGAATGTACTAAAATACTACTTTGTTGTAAGAATGATGAATGTAATGAATACAGAGAAATATGGAAATATTTACATGAACTGATAAGAGTGAAGCAGAGCCTAGAAAACAATATATACAACTACAACAGTACAAATGGAAACAACCACACATACACATACACACACACACACACACACAGCGCCAAAGTGGATGCTACAAAATTACCCCCCCCCCAAAAAAAGGCATGGCTTGAGAAGATACTCTTCACCTCACCTCCCATGCAGAGATGGGAAGTCCAAAGGTGTTCCACACTGCACTTATTTTCAGACTTTTAATATATATTTATCAGTTATACTGATTTTTCCTCTCTTCCCCCCACCCTTTTCAAAAGAGCTTTCAAAAAATAGTATTTATTATATATAGGGCAGCTAGAAAGTAAAGTGGACGGAGTGCTGGGCCTGGAAAGAAGCCTCATCTTCCTGAGTTCAAATCTGGCTTCAGACACTTACTAGCTATGTAACTCTGGCCAAGTCACTTAATTCTGTTTGCCTCAGCTCCTCATCTGTAAAATGAACTGGAGAAGGAAATGGCAAGCCACTCCAGTAACATTGTCAAGAAAACCCCAAATGGGGTCAAGAAGAGTCAGACATGACAGAACAACTTCCTGAGTCCTGAACCAGCATTCTATCTACTGTACCGCCAGCTACAATAATAGCTAGTATCTATGTAGTGCTTTAAGGTTTGCAAAGTGTTTTTACATGTCATCTGATGTGAGATAACACAGAATGAGATACCTGCACAAGTAGATTGAAGGCAGACTGGATAGAACCTTGAATGTTAGGAATTTATACTTTATTTTGTGGGTAATGAGAAGCCACTGAATACTTTTGAGCAGAGAAGTGAAGGATCATAAAGCAAGGTGTTAGAAGGAAGGTTACTCAAGCAGCAAGACCAGTTGCTATTACTACACTCTACACTAAAGTGAGGGTCTGAATTAGTGTGATAGTGCTTGTAGTCAAAAGGAGGAAAAGGGCTAGATATGTGAGATACTATGAAGGTAGAAATAGGATCTGTCAACTAAATGAACATGTAGGAGTAGAAAAAGATAAGTCAAGGGTGACTTCTGGATCATCAGTATGGGATAAGGGAAGGCATGAAGTAAAGCCAAAAATGAATGAGACTACCAAGGGAGAGAGAACCACAAGAAAAAAGAGTGAAGAACAACCCTGGGGTAATACCTAGGTTCACAGAAAAGAAAGAAACTAAGAAGGATAAAAAAAAACCTGTTTATATGATTTAGAGCTAGAAGGGACCTTAGATATCATTGGTGCCTTCATTTTACAAATTAGTAAACTGAAGGCCAGAGGGATAATGTGACATTCCCAAAAGTCACACATGTAATAAGTGATCAGACTGAGATTGGAACCTAAGGTCTCCAACTCCAAAATTATTTCTTTCCACTACCTAACATTGTCTTCTTAAAGAATGAGAGAATGCATTCCCAAAATATATGCAAATACAATTACAAAACAATCTTTAAAGAAATAAAAGATGGCAAATAATTGTAGAGATGATTCATTGCTTGTGTTTGGAATATAGTAATATGATAAAAAGAGATGATACTGTCTAAATTCATTCACAGATTTAGCATGTTATCAAATTCCCAAAGAAATACTTTATACAACTAGACCAAAAAAAAATTCAAAGGAGAAAAATAAAGTGGGAATGAAGAGGGGATTGCACGTCTAGACCTCAAATTACACTACACTAAGCAGTATTTATCAAAACTATTTGGTACTGGTTTCTAAAAAAGTGAAAATAAAAATGGAACAGGTTAGATAAGGAAGTATCAGAAACAACTGAACTAAGTGTTCAGAACATAAGAACATAAATCATAAAATACTTTACAAAAACTCCCTGAAAAGATTTTCTGAGAAGACTGGAAAGCAATTCAGCAAAAATATGATTTAGAGTAAACCAACATCTCACACCACATGCCACAATAAAAGCAAAATGCATATGTAACCTGAATACTAAAGATCACACCACAAAAAATTATAAGAGAAACAGATCAAGTATATTCAGTTATAACTACGAAAAGATCTCTTAATCAATTAAGGGATATAGGTTAGCACAAAGATAAAGCAGGTCATTTAAAACTTTTTGCACAAAGAAAATCAACACAACTAAGATAAGGGAAGTATGAATACAGACTAAGGAAAAATCTTCAAATTAAATTAAACATACAATAAGGGATCCAATACCAAGATACACAGAAAACTTACATAATTACATAAAAAACACAATTATACAAGACAAAGGGTCAATCTCCAATGGACAAGTGATTAAAGGACTTGAACAAACATCTCTCAAAATAATTACAAATTATTAACTATATGCAAGACTGTTCTAAGTGACTAATAGTAAGAAACGCAAATCAAAACAACTGAGGTTTTACTTCATACAAGGCAAACTGCCAAAGATCAAAAATGATAGAAAGTCAACGTATGAGGAGCAGTGGAAAGATAGGTGCACACTTTCTAAAAGCTATGAATTGTTCCAGATGATGAGGTCTAGGGGTTTAGAGGTGCTGGGACCCTGAGATTACAACAAAAAAATTCGACTCAAGCTTTCTTTCAGCCAAAGACAAGGTTTGTTAAGGATCTGCCATATTGGCCAGACTCTTAAGGAATATGAACATTTGTGAGCTATTGGCTAGGTTCTTAAGGAATTTGAGCACTCTAATGGAGACAAGATGGACCTTATATACAGAAAAACTGTGGGCGGGATCTAGGAGTGGCCAAGTAGTTTGGGGTGACTGGAGGAGGGGTTTCAGGATGATCTGGATGGGAGTGGGAACTGAACACCTGAGACCTAGACCACTTGGCCATGGGAGAATGGAGATTAATGGTGGGAAATGGGGGGAAGCCCATAAGGAGGTAAAACAATGGAGTGCTGGGCTAGGTTAAGGGGAACAGAATTAGGAGATTGGGCATAGGTGATAACAAAAGGCCAGTTGATGGGATTATGGCCACAGATGAAATTCAGAGATTTGGCTAGGTGGGAAAGTCCAAGGTTTTTCCTTCCTGGGGTCCAGATCCCAACCCCATCACAGATATCAAGGAAATCGATTTGAAATGACTAAATACATCTATATCCTTTAACCTGAAGATCCCACTGCTAGGCATCTCCTATACAGGATAAGGTCAAAGACATAAAAATTCACATATTCCAAAAGAGTCACAGCAGAACTTTTTGTAGAAGCAAACAGAAACAATATAGACGCAGACCTACTGGTGAACAACTAAACAAGTTATATAAATGTAATGGAATATTGCTGCTGTCTAAGAAATAATAAATAGGAAGAATTCAGAAAAGCATAGGAAGACTTATATGAAATGAAAACAATAAACCCGTCAAAGTGACATCAAATACTATGTGATTATGATCATATTTCACCTTAAAAAACAGATGAGAAAATGTGCTTCCCTCCCCTTTTCTTTTCAGAAGCAAAAGCATTTTGGTATGAAACATAGAACATATGAAGGAATGTTCTATGGAATGAACACTTGGTTGTTGTGTTAGATTTGTAAAACTGCTTTTTTCCCCCTTTTTGCTTTTTAATCTTTCTTCTAAGGGATTGCTCTCTGTGTAGGGGAAAGAATAAGGCAAATATGTGAAAATAAAGCTATCAATAAACAAAATTTAAATTAATAAAAGTAATACGAGAAGGTTCCAGAGAACTTGTGATGAAAGATTTCTCTCAGCTCTCAGTTGAGAGATGAGAGACTAGGAATATAAAATGTTCATTAAGCTGTCAAATGCAGTCTGGTTGTGTTACAAGGAAGGATTCAATGGAGAAAGGAGAGAAAAAGATTTAAGGGGAAATGACTGTCATAAAAACAAAAGAGAACAAAAAGCTTTAAAAAGAAAAAAAACAAGAAATAGTACAATGTAGAAAGAAAACCAAAAGAGAAGCATTACAAGAAAGAAGGAATGGTCCATAGTGTCAAGCTGTTAAAGGGTCAAGGGCCAATAGGAGAAAAACCCCATGAGATTTGTCAGTAACAGGTTATGGGCAACCTGTAAAAACATTTTCAGTAAAGCGTTGGGAAAGAAACCAGATTGCAGGTGGGTGACGAGGAAGTGAAAGACTATGGTGGGGTCGGAGGAGAGAGTGAAGAGGAGGGACGGAGATGCATTTTGAGAGGTAACAGAGTGGAGAGACTTTTTTTTCAGTTGTTTGTTTTTAAAGGCCAGAGGAAACCTGAGCCCTAAAGAGTCAGAGGAGAGGGAGAAAACGGAAAGATTCAAAACACAAAAAGGGGCGACTACTGGAATGAAGACCCCACCTGGTGACAAGGTGGAAGGAAGGAAGGGTTAGCCTTAAGCTGGGGAAGATTCGACTTCATCCTCAAAAAAAAGAGAAGCAAAGGGTAAATTTCAGGATTGTGGGACCGTCAGGCCCAAACCGATCCTTTTTCAGATGAGTAAACTGAGACCCAGAGAGATGAAGTACATGAAGGTGGCCCGAGGTGGCCCACGCAGAGCCAGGGATGGCACCCAAACGCTCCGGCCCCAACCCCACAGGACTGCGCTGTCTCTCAGGGAGAACTAGAGGCGAAGGAGGGGCGTGAGACGCTCCGGGCCCTCCCCGCCGCCTCTCCCCAAAGCCTAGGCGGAGCGCGGAGGACACGGGCCGGGGTCAGGGGGCCAGGAGGGGCGGGACTGCGGGAGAGGGGGGAGACAGCGGCGCTTCGTCCATCTGTCGGTCGGCCCTCTCTGTCTCTCTCTTTTCTTCCCTCCCTCCTCCCCACGCAGGCGCGAGCCTCGTTTGGAGAAGAGCCGCCAGGCAGCGTGAGGAGGGGGAGTGAAGAGGTGGGGGCGGCCGGTGAGCCGGAGGAGGCCGGGAACCCGGGAGCCCGCGAGCCCGCGCCCCACACGTGGAGCCAGAAGCCAGAACAAACCGAAGCTAGGCAGCCGCTTCCTCCCGGGCCTCGGGAGCAGGCCAGGCCCCGCCCCTTGGGCGGCGCGCGCTCGGGGGCGGCCTCGAGCCCCCCGTCGGGCGCAGCGGATTGTCTGCGGCCACCCGCTCGAAGCTGCGCCCTGGAGTGCCTCGGGTCCCTGGGCCCTTCCCAGGCGATGGCCAGGGACATCCCGCGGCCGCCTAAGGGCCCCAGCGCGGAGTAGGGGGGAACTTGGGCCCCTGTGTTTTACCCCATCCCCTCCCCCTCCCCGACACTCACCTCAGCCGAGTCCCTCGCGGACTCCTTCCGGGCCGCAGTAGGGTCGGAGCCTGAGGAGTGGGGAGGGTGGGGGGGGGCCTCCTCTTTTCCTTTTCCGGGGTCAGTGAGGCGGGGAGCGCTTGGACTAAGGGAGGAGAGGGGCGGGAGGGGAAGGGGGAGAGAAGCCGTGGTGGGCTAGCGCGAACCCGAACGCTCCCCAGGGGAAGGAAGGAGGCTGCGTTGCCGCCGTACGGCACGCTCACCCGGGCTGGGCCGGGGGATCGGCGGCAGCTTTGACGGCCCACTCGGGATTGGGCGCCTTCGTCTGGCTGACCCCACCCCCAGCCAGGCGGCCCCCCGCTGCGCCCACAGCCCGCTCTGGCCCTCCTCGGCATCAGCATCGAGGATGCAGAGTTTGCAGGGATCGGCCCCCGCTCCCTCAGGTGGCTGTACCCACCCCCGCAATGTACTGACGAAAGAGGGCAGGCCCAGAGGGATTTGAGAATCCGCCCCCCGCCCCCCACCACACACGCAGACACGCACGCGCCCGCCGAAGTCCGGTTACCGTGCGAAAAACGAGCCCTCGACGCTGCTAGAACCAAGGCCCTCCTGACTGCAACTCCAGACCCAAAAGGAGGCGATCCTGTGACGTCATTTGCGAACATCTTTTTAGCGTCATACCTATTAGTAAGGCAGTTAGGGCGCTGGACCTCTGGAGTCAGGAAGACCCGCCTGGGTGACCCTCAGCAAGCCACTTAGACTGCCTCATCTATAAAAACGGGCTGATAATAGCCCACCCTCTGCTATAAAATGGGGATAACAATAGCACCCACTTGGAAGGGTTGTTATGAGAAGGAAATGAGATAATATGTGTATAGTGCTCTGCAAATCTTAAAGCACTATGTAAATGCTAACTATTAGTAACAAAAGCAAGCAACGTTTAGGTCACTGCTGTATGCCGTGGGGATGCTACCTTTTCTTTTGATTTCTCCCTATCCCTACTATCTGTAAGTAATCCCTATCAAATCTCGGACTATTCTCTCCAACCCTTTAGGTGCACCTAATCATGTTGCTACTTTGTCATTAGTGTACAGCTTTATATCCCCAGGGCCTAGCATTAAGCACCTTATAATTAGCAGGTGCTTGCTAAATAGTTTTTTTTTTTTTAATTCACTTGAGACCTGAACTGTTTTAATACCCTGGGGAACTCAAATAACCCTCTCATAAATTCATAGCAGCACAGTCAAATGCACCTATGAAACAACTAATTCAAAGTTTTGACCGCCAAGAGATGAGTAATATTAATATTCCTTGTAGAAATTGCTAAATTGCACATTGGCTATTGATGCTTATCTGTCAGAAGTTTATTTTATTTTTATCAGCTCAGAGGAGTAACTTCCATTCATTAAAGAACATAATGGACTTTTTTGCTTTGTTCTGTTTTTTCACTTTACTACAATCTTTTTATATCATCATCTCTTTTCTACAGGGTGCTACTGCCTCCTTGTGTCCTTTGCTCTCTTTCCCACGTAACCACCATTTTTTGAGGTGTTATATCTATAAACCCCTACAGCATAATGTAAGTAAGGATAGAAACTGGAGCTGTGATTTCACTGGTAAAAGAAATTCCAATGCAGGTCTGCATCTTTTCTACAACTTTTAATTATTAGAAAGTGCCAGAAGTTCTGGAAACTACTTTGTATCAGAGATGGGATCTGCACCTGGCTTTTTGACTTTGTGAACAAGCTCTATCCATTAAACAAGGGTGCTTCCTGCTACTAACTAACTAGTCTTTTAACCTGATACCTTTCCTCCGAATTTTTGTACCTGAATTCATGAATAATCATATTTTTTCTGATACTACCACATGAAAATATAAGAATGTCACCTAGAATATATTAGGTCAAACCAGCAGTCTATCCTGCCAAGCTAGTATTCTGACAGTGGTAGCATGAAACTCTGAACTGAGCTCTCTTATTCCTCTCCGAGTTCAATTTTACAGAAACAATTCCAAAATCTCTATATCCAGCACTAATGTTTCACAAATTCAATTGTACATCTCCAACTACTTCCTATACATTACCCAGATATGCCATACTAAACATATCCCAAACTAAAATTATCTTTTTCCCACCCAAATTTCCCTAGTTTTGTTTGCAATCACCCATGCTCAACAGTTCCACTTCATCTTTGACTTCTCCCTCTCCCTCCTTTCACCCACATTCCTTATAACTAATAAGCATCTCTCCCATCCTTCTCCTTTTTTCCATTCATAGTGCTTACTTTTTAATTGAAGCCCTTATCATCTCTCACTTAGATAACTAATAGCTTCGCAACTGCTCCTGTTTTCAGTTGACACCTCCCAAACATTTTTTACAAAAGAGATTCATTCAATGTATTGGGAGCCTTCCTTTTATTCTCTGGATGTTGGGCAGAAATCAGAAAAGCACATAAGCTGTACATTAGTTATCCATTTTTCTTGTTATGTGACAAGCCCATCTTTTTTTAACCATTGATGCATTTTAATGACATTATTTATCCCATTTCTCCTGTTTAATTCCTTATTTGTAATGTTACAGCCTCATCTTGTTCATTTCCAACCCTGAAAATGATCCATACTTTCTCTGTTATCTGACTTACAATAAAATTCATTTTAAAGTGTTAATTTTTTAAAAGATCAAAGGATTCCTCGTTTCATATGGTTATGTTAATAAAAGAAAAGATCTATAGCTAAGTTACATATTATGAACATTCAACATAAAATCCATTAGTAATATTCAAAGGTTAAAACCCAAGAAGCTAAATAGGATTACAAATTGATCATATTCTTGCTGAAGGATCAGGTTTAAAAGTTATAGTACTTGTGGCTGTATTCTGAAGTTACTAGTGCAAAGCCTTATTTGTTAGGAAGGTGCCAAAGGAAATAGATGAGGTTTTAGAAAGACATCACCTATCCAAGACTGAGGAATAACAGCAAAAAGAGTTTCAATAATTGGGACACTTTATGGAGCTTTCTGCCAAAAGCAAAGTTGCTAATAATTTCTTGTTTTGCCCTAATGATAATTTCACTCTTCAAAAGGTAGAAGTAGCAGCTAAGAAAACTGCTATGCTGCTAAACCAGATTCTCCTTAATGTGGAGGAAGTAGTTGCTGAAGTAGAAATGAGAGTAACCTTGGGAGGGAAGTCGTCTCTCATCTTAGAGTTTGTAATAAAGGTAAGAAAGCCAACCATAGTCTAACACACATACTAGAATTTGTGACTGCAGATTTCAAAGGGCTAAGATATAGTATAGGTCCAATCCCACAGGCTAATTCTCCTGGGACAAGTCAGCCCAAGAACAAAAGAAGCTCTCAAGAATGAAATTCTCAAGACACAAAAGAAACAATTCGATGATGAAAAAAAGGAAAATGTCAAAAGAAACCAATCTTGGGTACACAATGAATATTTCAACCAATGTAGATTGTTTTTTTAGGCAGATAGAAATATAGACCAAATCATTAATAAATATAAATTCAAAAATATTAAATAAAACCAACCCTGGAAAAACATACTGCAGCAATTTATTAAAAAAAAAAAAATCAGCCACTGTGCTTAAGTTGGATTTATACCAGGGATGAAGGATGGTTCGACATTAGGAAAACAATTATGTTAAAAACTAAAACATCCCAAACCACATGCTCATATTAATAGATGCAGAATAATTAATAAATAAGTGTTAGATAATAAATGCTCTCATTTATATGAAAGAAGAAAAAGCCCTACAAAGCATAGGTAGAGAAGCATCTATCCGTGGAAGCATATTTTAAAACCTCCTTTGTAGTAAAATCAAAAATATTAAGACTCTATGGACTCTAAAATCCTTTCCAGACTCCTAAGTTGCCCCTTGAAAAAGTGGGTGATAGGTTAAAGACAAAGAGACCTTTCATAGGGGAATGGATTGAGAACCATAACCAAACAATTTTTATTCGGCTTCCATTATTGTCCTCCACACCCAAGAAGTGATTGGCTAGAACCCAGTCTTATTCATTGAAGAGGAATTAAGATATTGATGGAAGAGATGAAGTCTTTTTTTTTTTTCACTCCAGGCCACCACTTTCTTAAAGGGAATGATTAAAGAAGTAATAGGATGGTGATGTTATCACTCAACCATTTTGGAATATTAACACAAAACTGTGTTTTATCAATCCACTGTCTTGTACAAGATTCTGATAAATGCTACCTCAAATCATCTCGAAAGAAAGTAATATCTAAGAGCATGGAAGACTAT